GCAGCACGGAATCATGGTGGCAATAGCTGCAGCAAGATTCAGGGTGGTGCTGTCACCAAGTCTGTCCTGCTACCCTTTTCTGCAGCACAGGGGGCTTCTATTAAATTCTACAGTATTGTGGATTACTTTCACTAGATGATTTTTTTTCCTACTAGGTAAGAAATCCATTGTTTTCTCTCTTGATACTGAGATGCAATCGTTTGGCAATGCACTAAGGGAAAGAAAGCATTTAATCAATGACACTTCAGATGGAGTCACATGATCCACTTTTTTCACTTCCTTCTGTTCAAACAAAATGTATTAACAACAAAGTCATTTCAGATGGATTTCTAGCTGGATCAAACAGATTTTTCAGCTGAATTTCCTGGTCCCCGTTTATTGTTTGTTACTTTTCAACCAAAAGAGTTTTCAGCTATTTTTTACTTCAGTTGCAGACACGTCCCCTCAGTGCTGGAATGTTGCTAGGTGATAAGCATGTAAATCAATATATCTCTTTTGTCTCTGGCTTTGGGTGCTCATGTTAATATAGCTACATACCATGCTTGGAGTTTAAAACACATGAATGAAACCAAACTAGACCAAACCAAACCAAAGAATAAAAACAACCCAAAAGCCCCCTCAACAACCATCCCCTCAAGCCAAGAAGGGTGGACTAAAATTACTTTTTTCTTCATTCTTTTGCATTGCCCTTTGCTGTTACAATCAATTTGTATTGATCCAGGTGTTTCCCTACCAGTAGTTAAATTGTACCTCTATGGAACAAGGGTCTCACACGTGCTGCTTTTGTGTTTTATGGATCTGCTGGCATGGAAAACGGAGCCGTGCAATGGCTGGTAAGAACAGTTTTAACCCTGGGTCTTTTATGCTACATATTGGTTTTCTGTTCTGGTAGTCCCCACTTCCCCAGATTGAGATGAATGTTTGCTTATCCACTGCCAGGGCTATTTGCAGGGAAAAGCAAAACAAAGGAAAACAGCAATGGTTTTAATGTCTTGTGATTTCAGTGGAGGCAGATAAAGAAATATCTGAGCACTCAGCTGCAGAGGAATTGGGCTGTTGGTGTTTTGTCACGGGAATGTCAGGCCACTGTCCGTGGTACTCGGCCTCACTGTCAGTAACTCTGAAGGTTTTCCCATTGCCACTCAGTGCTTTTTCACAGAACAGCACCTGTTATGGAAAACTAGAGGTAACAATTTAATTGCATGTTGTTATAGAGCAAAACGGGATTAAGATCTTGCTGAGATGCATTTCTAAGCGAGTTTCTTTTCTGTTTCAGAGTTACGACACTTGTCAGTATCGTAATAATGCATTTGCAGCAAATAAGAAAATAAATTAGGGTTTCAGCTTTGAAATCATTCTTGTGAGTCTACTGTGAGAATCATAGTTCAGAAAAGAAAGACTGAGCAGCATTGGGACCACAGCTTTCCCTGGGTTTCCAGTTGAGTTTATAGCAGAATTATCTATCCTCTGGTCCTTCCAGCAGGCTGTGGCATTATTGTAATAGTCCAAAGAGAGCAGCAGCCTACTGGCCAACCAGAACCAGAACAGAAAAAATTTTAGGGTCTAGGGAATATCACTGGTTACATGGAGTATAAAGGTGAAGAGTGAAGTATCCAAATATAGAAAATATCTATCACTCCATAGATGCAGTGCTATGATAAGGCAAGTATTTGTAAAAAGCACATAGTAATGCCACAGCCTGAGTAACAGTTTGCAAGTCATGAACAAAAATTAGGAGAATTCAATAAATTTAGGAGGTTTTCCTCATCTCTAAGCCTTTGAAGTCTGCTGGATTCCACTTAAATGCTCACTGTCACAGAGATTTCTTTCCCTGTTTTAGTAGAACTCCATTCAAAATAATTCTTTTGATGCCACACCCTTGAACATTAAATAAACTGAGCATGGTAATAAAACAGAAGAATTACAACCCACTGGCAATTATAATAATACCACTTTTCAGCTGATGTCCCTTTGAGCTGCTGGGGACAAATCCTAGAAAGGCTCCTGCACTTTTCCATGGACACAAACTGAGCCTGCTCTGTAGGTGTTTACCCCTTCCCAGCAGTTTCTGTTGCTAATATTGCAGTGGGAAGCGTGCACTCTGCAATCCAGGCAGAGATGCAGTCCAGAGTGATTTGTCCAGGACATCAGAGAACTCCACTCCAAGGAAGAGCTCCTCCTCCTCCTTTGCTCAGGCCCATCTCCCCTTGGTGACCCCTGGGTAAAGAGCACAGGATTCTGCCCCAGGGGAGGCTGATGCATGAACAGAAATGCACATTGTCATGTACCACTGGCCTCCTGATGGAAAGCTGAAGGTGCAGTGAAACAGTTTTACCATGGCAACATTATTTTCATTCTTTTGGAAATGCCCAGTGGTTGCCCTCCTGAAATTGTGCTTGGGCAGGTTTGGAAGTGCTGTTTAGTTTACCAGGTATACCCTTGCCTGTGGTAGCTGTATTCTCCATGGCATGGCAAGAGATTTTTGAAAACCACGGTGCTTACAGGAACTCTGATTTATACCTGCAGCATACATTTAGGGCACATGCAAGGTCTCCTGCAAGTTTCAAGATATTCTTTACCCACAAGCAGTCCTGATTTTGTGGAAGATCCTTTTTGATAGGTTATAAAACTAATTTTTCAGACTTGAGGCCAAAAATGTTAAATATTTCTTCAAATCTGTGCGTGCATATTTGTGTCAGCAGAGTTGCAGGTCCAAAATGCTTGGTGAACACTCATCACATACAAGATGTGAAGCAATGTGTGTGCACATAAACTTATCTGAACTCTATCTAATGATCAGGGCTCCCTCTCTGTAAGTACACAGCAGACAGCTGTACTGTATAAAACATCCATACTTTGCATTTGCGTCTTTTAAACAAAAAATTCCCATGTAAAGACGTGAGTCAAGTCCTCTGTAGAAGACACTGGAGGATGAGAGAACTCCATGCATGGCTAAATGAGTGGTGAGAAATTTCTTCCAGGGTCTCCTGCTTTGGGGCACAAATTTCATTACGTGACAAAATGCAGCGCTTTGATTCATTTTCTTTTAATGGTCAGAATTTGTCAGAATTTACAATATACCATCATGTAAAACAGCCCTGCTAACTCTACCACAAATAATAAAGGAAGTCTTCACAGGCACTATATATTTTGAACAGCATTGTCAGACAACATGGGGTGCGTGTGTTTGTTTGTATGATCCAGCATTGCCACCTGGGACACACTTCCAACAGTTTGCAGTGTCATGGACACGACTCAGAAACGTTGACTGGAAAATCATCCACAAAGGTTGAGGACTAACCTCCACGTTATACCACAGATGGTTATCTCCTTTCTCAAAGAACATGCTGTCATTACAAATACCATATGCATCTTGTTCTCACCCAGCAGAACTTTTTTTACAGTTTTTCAGATTTGAAGGATTTCTGCAAGGAACCATATTAATTTGTTTTCATGTCAGGTGAAAGGAGGCACCAGCTGAGACTGAGGACACAACTTGTAATTAAAAAATAAGTATCTGATGGCAATCATTCTTGAAAAAAAAAAACAACCTAGAAAGCAAATCATTCACAATACTGCACCTTTTTTGCAAATACAAGGACAATATTTGTTGCTGCTTCCCATATTTGTTGGTTTACATTGCTATCATTTTGCTTGTAAACCTGGGTTATTCTACTGAACAGAAATGATGACTCAAATTTGGGTAATGCTTACAACCATACAAATAATCTATCAGTAGCAGTGGTGTCAGCTGGAGAATTAATGCTACAAGTGGATAACATCACGCTATTTGAAACCAATAGCTCTTCACACAGTAGAAGACTGAGGGTCCTATTCAGCAAATATTCAGGGTCCTATGGCTGTGGCCACAGAGGTTCCAGAAGCTCTCGCTGAGTCTAATCCTGATTCAGGAACCAAAATGATATGCTGTGTATATATTTCTCTGCACAGCCTGGATGCGCTGGACACCCTCCCCCACTTGATTCCTGGGAAGGAAAAAAATATGTCTCTGTTTAGCTTTCGGTGACATGAAAAGCAATCCACAGTAATGAAATCTAAAGAAGTTAGCCAGGCATGTATGAAAAGAACAGGATGCCTGTGAAAAGGGAAGAGCTGTCAAAACCTAATTGTGGGCTCTGGCTGCAATGAAATTTATCAAAGAGGGAAGACAGGTTGGATATAAGGATGTAGACAACTTCTGCTAAGAGACACTTGTTGTGCTCTGGGCAATAGTAACCCTTACACCACACCTCGTGTGCTGTGTCAGGACATTCCTGAGAGCTCCCAAATGCCCAGGTCAGCATTTCAAGCGTGGCACTTGAGCCAGCATCTACCCTGTCACTGGGGGCACAAACAAGCTGGGCAGAGCTGCCCCACAGCTGGCAGCAGCTGTGCTGGGAAGGCATCCAGCCTTCCTCCTGCCCCACAGCCCGTGGGCACTCCCTGCTCAGACTGTGCTGCTGTGGCACCAGGAAACACAATTCCTTACGGACACAGGACAAGACTGTGGGATTCTTCCCAGCTTGCAGCATCTCTATAATGCCTGACAATGTTTTCTGGAACTGCCTATGGCCAGTGGTCACAACCAAGCAGGGAAATCTTCAGTGGCACTGCGGTAACACAGCTGCACTCTGGTGCAGAAAGGAAACTCAGAGGGGCTGTGAACTGCCTGCCTCCAAGTGCCCACAGCAGCATTCCTGGCTTCATATGGGTACTGTGCTCTTTCCTGTCTTTCAGCATAACTCTGGGGCTGTTCATAAACAAGATACTTCCCTTTGACTGGGAGCACTGCCTGACTCAGCCAGTGAGAGCAGCAATGGGAGCAAGTCATGGTAACTTTAGGAAGCAATTTAGTTTGATCTTTGATGAATTTCTGTGTCTCATGGATCAGGATTAGTGTTCCCTGTATTGGGGAGAGGATTAGACAGAGGGATTAAAAGGACATCTTTACCCCACTGGACTCTGTGGAATAGCCCCTGAGGATATGGCTAAGAAAGAGTTCAACAGGAATGCCAAATTTCTGCTGAATAGGTTAAAAGGGTGAGGAAGCCTCTTCGGCAGCCATCCAAGCGCAGAAGACCTGCATAACATTCCTGCTGAATAGGGCCCTAAAGACAAAAAACAAAACAAAACAAAACAAAAAAAAAACCATAGGAACCTTGAAAAGCTTTTCTGATTGTGTCGCTTCTTATGAGCGCCTCAGATCTCCAAAGACACTTAAACATATTTTTGTGAGTGTAGTTAGGCATCCTTTGAGATGTGCTAGTGCCATGGATGATACATTGTTACAAGAAAAGAAGTCAAATTAGATGGTTGTGTATAAAAAAAATAAGTCTTGATTGTTCTGTAAACAAGGTCCATTTCTTTACATCAATTAACAATGAAAGTTACCCAAGATCTTATTTCAAAAGAAAAACCAAACCCTCAGTTGAGTGTATAATGTTTGGTGTTTTCATGTCTGTATATTATGGACAACAATTCCCTTCTGTCTCCCTAAAACTGAAAGGAGCAGACTTAACGTGTGTGTCATGTTTCAGCTTTAAAGCGTTTCCAAACCCTTTTCTAGGATTCACCTCATGCACGCGGATCTTGGCTTTGCTCATAAAATTTTATCCAACTTCTAATGCCATGTGGGAGAATATTCAAGATGATTGCAAGGGGGAAGCAGTAAATCAGAGCCTTACCTCCACAAGAGGATGCCAGTGAGCGATGGGCTTCCGAGGGTACGAGAGCATTTCGTTCCAGTGGTCGCGACCTAGACTCTCTGCATCGTTGCCTACTTGACAAACTCCAATGACCTCATTGTGACCTACACTGTGAAAATGGTCCATAATATTTTTTTCTTAAAATTTTACCTTTGGAACCACACCAGTTGCATATTTCATCAGAAATGTTAACCGTGGATTTTTAGGATTAATTCTTGCCTGGGGAACACAAAGCACTAGGAAATACGTAGGCTTGCTCTTTGCATTTCCCTCTGCTCAGAACAATTTGATATTTCCCCCCTTGTAGAACACAAAAGGTTCTTTCCCTCTGCTCTGTAATTAGCTGCAAAGGCAAACAGGCTCTAAGACACAACTTTATAAGTGGAGTGTGTGTATGTAAAGGCTTAGCATAAATGTACAAACTGAACATCAGTGCTTAAATGCCCAATTACCTCAGTTCTGCTAAACACATCTGCAGCTTACTGATGTCAGTTATGGATGCAAATCTATATTTTAAAATTTAGTAAGGAAGTTCTGCCTGGCAAAACAAAATATGTGGAGACTTCTACCAAGCTCAACCTGACATTAATTCCCCGCTTATAGGGAAAAAAATAATAACTCTTTCTGGGTGCAAATCCAGCGTGCAAGATTTTATCAGCCAATATTTGACAGCTACAGGCATCTCACCGGTCATAATCCATAACAGCTATCGACAAGTTAATTTGGTCAATGTTTTCTGGAGGGACGTCAAAGACTATGGCTTCATTGTAAACGGGATTTAGGGTGTTCCTCTTGGTGGAAGTTTTCCTTTTCTTTAGCCGCCTTCCTTCACACATTAAAGAAACCTTCACGTAGGGATCTGTGTGGGTCATAAGAACAATGTTGATTTTTGACAAATGCAAATGGAAAGTGAAGGGAGACTTCTTGTGTGCCCATACCTGCTTGCAGGATTAATCCCCTGGAATTTGAGCTTCTCTGTCACCGTGGAATGCACAGGAGGCAGTGCAGCTTTGAAAGCTTTACCTGGTTGACTGTTTATAATGAACTTTTTAGGTTCAAGAAGCTCCTTGTTGTGTACCAACTTCTCAAAGGATATTAAAATATCCACTGAAGCATGTTATACATGACTATTTTATACAACAGCCTGTGTATCAGCCTATTTATAGCAGCCTAATTACTTGTTAGATTTGTAGGACAGACAGAAGATGACAATGTTTTTCACAATGGGATTTACTGATGTATGATTAAATACAATTCAGAGTGTAACAATTAATGGCTTTTATTTCTCAAGAGAATTGTAATTATTTTTAAACTCCTGAATGTAGCAAAAAAGAAAGCTACTTCTTTGTAGCTCCTTTCTGAGAGCTCTACAACTCCCTGCCAGTATTTAAAAGACATCTATGAAATCTTATTTATGTTTATAATTTTTATTGTGGGCTTTTGAAAGGGTTGCTTGAAGGATTCTGGGATGATCTGCACTCTCTCCATATGCCAGCAACAGCAGAACTGGCTCAGTGGCTCTTGGGGACTGTCAGAGAGGGCCAGTCTGCCTCTGTGTCATAGCTGTAACAGTCTGCTGCACAAACAAATTCCCAGTGTTGGGAATGCATTTGGCCAGCTTGTTTTACTCTGAATTACAGTGGCATTGGAAATAATAATCTTGCACTCTTTCTGAGAGAGCAACTTATTTTAAACTGTTGCTTGGATCTAAGTAAAGTAAAATGTATTATTTATTTCTCATCAACTGCTGTACTCAGGTAGAGCTCACAGTATAACAGCCCCCCTCTCAGAAATCATTCTGGGATTTAACAGTGTTGAATTCTGTGTCTTGGGAGGGAAATGGGACAGAAATCCACACTGAGCATTAAATTCATTCCTACCTGATGCTCCTGTGATATCCATTGCCTTTAGATTTCTTGCCTTTATTATTGTAATAGTTAGTCTACCAGCAGTTGGAAGGTAGCAGAGCGAAAACATGAGGTCACCAAGATCCACGTTATCCTGTTCCAAGAAAAGAAAGATAATGTGAAGCAATAATAGCAATTTTTCTACTCCTAGAAGGTTTTAAAGATAAAAATATACCTTTGGGCATCTGCAGTTATGCAGGAAAAGCTGAATTCTCATTCTGAAACATATCTGAAAAATCCAGCCATCCATGTGCATACAAAATTCAAATCACTCTGTTGCTAGACCACCAAAGTTCTGCAGCAAAAATGAGGTTATAGTTTCCAGCACTCAGTCCTTGGAGATGACACACATTTAAATGAGGAGGTGCACTGTGAGGGACTGGAAAACCTTTGTTCTATTCTATGCATTTTAGTGATTTTCCTGTTTCACTGACAAGCAGCCGCAAATGTCTGTGCCTTTCTCTCTCGTCTGCAGGAGGAAACCCACAGAGACAGTCATAGAAAAAAACCCCATGGTTTGGGAAGGACAAAGCTTTTTCCAGCTCTTAAGTTTGCATGAACTCTGGTGTGACAGGTCTGAAGTGTCTATGGCAATGGCACAATCTCCACCAGAAGAAGAGCAAGGGTTATTACTAATTGTTGATCACAATAATTACAATAATAACAAGAACAACCTCCTGTGCCTCACACAGGCAAGTTCCCTTAAGCAGACTTATCCATCTGTTTCATTGATAGAGTAATTTGCAGCCCTTTCCTGTGTTGATGGCATCAGGGTTCCAAAAAAAATTTTGCAAACCCTGTTTGCAGTTACAAAGCGTGACTATTTTTTTTAAAGAGGGAAATCCAGCTCTTTCATTAAAAAAAATAACTAAGGAAGGATTGCATTAAATGATTTCTTTGATTTGATTCACATTTTTTTGACTGAGTAGTGAATTCACACTTTCACAAACCTGTTTCCTGCAACTTAATATTTCATTCTTGACAGAAAAAAAAAAAAAAATAACCTTACCTTGAAATTAGCAATTTCAAGGCCACATTCCAGGTTTTATAGGGAAGGGAAATGCATCTGTTGTAGAGTATGATTATCTTGCTTACTTAGCTTTGTGCAAATCTTCTCGTCTTTCCCAAGCTGGTTCCTTCTCTGTCAGTCACCAAAAGCTGAAGGGTGGTGGATGACAGAGAAGGAGAGGGAAAATACCTGGAAAGAGCCCCCAGCCCAGGTTTGTGTCTGAGGCAGCTGCTGCCCAGCCCGATGCCCAGAGCCTGTGCAGTCCCTTTGTGTCACTCCATGCATTAGCAGGGGACAGAAGCAGGACAGAAAGCGTTGCTGGCACAGAGCTGTAGAAAAATGTGTCAGAAGGGAATTCTGGAGGTCACTTGGTCCAACCCCTTGCTCAAGAGAGGCATCTTTGCTTTAGCTCACAGCTCTTTCAAAGAAAAAGCCCAACAGGTACAGTCATTCCAAAGTAAGTCCTTTCCTTGCGCTGTTATTTAAGAGATGCAGTCAAAGAAGGAAAAGGCTGATATTATGGGCCATTTTTCAGGAATAACCAGCTTTTAACCCTATCACCTTTTCCATTCTGAAGATCAGTGTTTCAGGGTGGCTGAAAAGCTAATAAAGGCTGGAACAATATCGAGGTGGCTGCTGTGACTCAGGCTGTTTAGTGCCTCTTGATAGCTCCCACTTGGAAGCAAACCTGCTGCAACAAATTGTGTCCCTGACTCACTTGGTGGGAGGATCAAAGTGCTGCTTGGGATGCTGTGAGAAGTCCTACAGGTTAAAGAGGTGTCAGCACATCCAGGAGAAATTTCTCTTGGCTAACACCTGCCCTTATCATTACAGGTAAATAACTGACCTCTGAGATTTTCCCAGTGATCAGCTGGAGATTGATACCCATAACAGGAAGAAAAGTTTTCACTTGTCTTTCCCCAGTGTGAGAGCAACTTCCAACATGTCAATGTACTTCCCCAACTCTGAGGTGCTGAGATTTGCAGCTGTGAAATTCTCTCTTGTGCTGCAACTCTGAGGGGACCAGAATTTCATGAGCCATTTAAAGATATTATTGATTGAAGCCATCTTTTGGGAATTTGTCACTCTTGCAAATATTGATAGTTTCTTTTTCCTGAATTGGTCACTACCCTTAAAAGACAGTGTTGTTGAATCAGTCAGGTTTTTACCTGTCCACAAAGAAGCCCATCAGGCATCTGCTGTTTTAACTGTGTATTTTGGCATACTTCAATATTGTCAGCTGTGGCATATTTATATGCATAAATATGGACAGTTTTTGACTGGGAATATTACATAATTTTTTGTAATTTATTTTGTAGCGCTTTGCAGTTGATCAGATAAGGGTTAGGTTTGACTTCAAATGTTTCAGAATGTACTGACACAGTATTTTGGATTTTATGTAATCAAGGAAATACTTCAATAAAAAACAACTGACCTATACATCACTGAAATATTTGTATATTTTTATATCTGTATTATAGAATAACCTTCTTACCTATTTTGTGCTACATTATGTTATACACTCAGTACATTATTACTTGATGCAGATATTTCCAACTGTTTTGTGTGTCTGAATACAAAATTCAGAGCCATACTCCGTATTGAATACTCCATATTCAACTCCAGTGCTCCATGTGGTGCCTAGGAATTCATTCTGTAAGTACTATAAATTTTCTGCCACTACCAAATACAGAAGTTTCCACTTCAGACTTGATCATCCTGAATGAACATTTTAAAAAAATTTTTATCCAATTTTTATCAAGAAGTTTATAGGTAAATTAATTATTATACAATTGTTTTAGGAATTGAATTCAGATGCCAAGAAAAATCAGAGAATCACAGAATGTCCTGATTTGGAAGGGACCCACAAGGATCAGGGAGTCCCATCACATCCCTGCACAGAACAGCCTGAAGAGTCACACCCTGCATATATAACTGCAGAAATGAACTGCACAAATGAACTGCTTAGGAAAAGAATGGATCACATGTGTTGAATGCAGTATCAGGAATTAGGCCATAATATACTTACCCACAAGCTACAACTGAAAAATAATTGTCACCTGCACTGTGATGGGTTTTTTTAGCAAATGCTGTGATGGCAATACTTTGTTAATGCTTTGTGAAAAACTGCACCAGGCATTATATGGGAAAAACCCCAGAGTTATGCTGGAAAGAGAACCTGTGATTTCTTTAGTCTTTTCCAGTAGTAGAAGTTGTAGGTGTTGCAGCAATAGGTCACAGATGATTGTGAGATTGTCTGTTCACAAGCCATTGCCTGAGAATGAGACTGGAGGGAAGCTTGCAGGCTGCAGCAGGGAACAGACACCTTTTTCCATGCAAATCCTTCTCTCAGTCTGAACAAAGAGGCCCTATCTTCTCATACTTTCATTTTAAATTGTAGGGAATTAATGACTACTCCATCATACTGGCTACTTGTAAAGTATGGAAAGGATTTTTATAACAGACAGAGCCTTGCCCCTTGTCCTGGCTATTCCTCCCTGTCTTACCCCTATTTTCTCTAATCAAAGGGCAACATTGAAAATTTTTACAAACAATGGGTCCTCAAGGCCCAGTTAGAAAGGTTTAATGAGGGAATGTTCTTCAGAGTCCCACAAACTTTGACTGCCCCCTGTGGTGGTGAAACAGCAGCCAAAGGCTAAAAACAATCCTGACTGGAGCTGACAGAATCCATGAGAAAGCTGACAGCTCTTCCTTAGCATTACCACAGATTGATTGATGTATTATTTCTTTGGCTTCTTTATTTACTATTTGTTTTTCTAATTCATCTTGCAGTTGCTCTATGAACTGCAAATATGGCTCTGTAGCACGCTGGTTTATGGCTGTGTGGCTTTGAGATGGCGTGGACATGTCAGCAACTTTTAATATTGCCTGCAATCCCAGATCTTTGGCCTGCTGCTTCACTAGCAGAGCCCCCAGAATCTGCTGGTGTGTGTTCATCTCTCTGGGGGGATACAGGCACCATGCTCTGGCTGGAGACCAGCCCTGTCATGGGCATGAGCCTCACATCCAGCAAACATAAATCTTTCCCTACAAATGCAGCTTTTTAACAGCCAGTGTATCAGAGCGCAGAGAGGATTAGTGCACACCTTCACAAGTTTAGAATCACTGAGCTACACGGCTTAAGCCACGGATTGTCACTAAAGGTGTGCTGTATTAGCAAGAAGTCGCTTTGAGGAACAGAATTAACAAGCTCAGAGGGCAGGATCTTGTGCAAGGATTAGTTCCTGTTTGAATTGAGCGCTTAGGCATTTCTGTGTACGCTCCACAAAACGTGGCACTACAGGCATTACACTGCCAGGGGCATTTTGGAAGTCCTGCTCAGGAGAAGATTTCATAAATAGTGTAGGTTATCTAGTCATGCACGTTGTACTTTCCAAATTTGTGTCTAACCTCATTCAGTGTGGTCGTAATACCATGCTGGGCATGTTACAGTGCAACTGTGACAGTCCTAATATAACCAGACCTAAAGGCTGGTCACTTTCATTAGTAACTCAAAAGAAAATAATCAGAAGAAAAACTTAAATTGAAATTATAATTTACTTATATGTACATGCCCTATATTATTTTCCTTTTGGTCCCATTTAGCAGGAAGCATAACTGAATAAATATCCTCTAACAAACACACCACTCTCCCATTGTCCTCAAAACCTGCCCAGGTTCAGAGGCAGAAACACAGCCTTTATTTTTAATCTGTAACCTGCCTGTTCCTGTATTCTAAAAAAAGTGAAACAAGACTGGGATCAGCTTTGCTTTTGCAGTGCCCCAGGTTTGGGCCTCAGGCCCGGGGTGAGGGCTGAGTGCCTTGATGTTGTGAGCTGTGCCTTACAGGGAGCCTCTGGTAATCCCACCTGGACTTGTCTCTGAGCCCTTGCTGTGTTCCTGCAGTTCTTTATTCAGTGCAGCAAGAGCATGGAGCTTCTTCCTTGAAAATGTCCCAGTGTTACCTGGGAGAGTTCAAACCAGAGGTGTAAATCACAAGGTTTGCCTGAAAACTGCAAATGGGATGAATCCCATAATAATGAAACCTCAAGGTAGATCAGATTGCTGTTAGGAGCATGGAGACA